AAGACGACAATTCTATACAAGCTCAAGCTCGGCGAGATCGTCACCACGATCCCCACGATTGGGTTTAACGTGGAGACGGTGGAGTACAAGAACCTTAAGTTCACCATGTGGGATGTCGGCGGCCAGGATGTCCTGCGCCCGCTGTGGCGCCACTACTACCAAAATACAAACGGCATCATCTTTGTTGTGGACTCCAACGACAGAGAGCGGATTGGCAAGGCGCGACAGGAGCTGGAGAAGATGCTTACAGAGGACGAGCTTCGCAATTCTATTCTCCTTGTATTTGCCAACAAGCAGGACCTGCCCAATGCAATGAGTACGACAGAGGTAACGGAAAAGCTTGGACTGCAGTCGGTGCGTCAGCGCAACTGGTATATTCAAGGATGTTGCGCCACTTCGGCTCAGGGCTTGTACGAGGGCTTGGACTGGCTTGCCGCAAATATTAAAAAAACAACACAATAGCTTCCTGTTTGGGTGTTTGTGTCGACGTGCCATTTTTTTCTGTTTTTTTTTTTTTTTTAGATAACTTTATGCAGGTGTGGGGGCATCTGGTATGTACGCCTCGAAATAAACCCTGTTGGTGGACGTTTTGTTTCTGAAAATCCCTTGGTATGGGCTTGAAATTATATTATTATTTTTATTATTATTTTTCTGTGTGTATTTTCCTATGATTTTCTGTCTTGTCCTGGGTTTTGTTATTACTGATAGAAATGAACGATGCCGTTAAAGTCTTTCTCCACGCGTCGTGGTGGTCGCCCTCTTGGTGGGTTGATCTCCGCCTTTGGTTCCGGCCTTCACGGCTATCACAGAGGGAGTCTTGCTTTTTATCCGGAGCCTGTTGACGTTTGGGTGGCGGCGTTGACGGACGCGGTACCTTTCTACCAGCGATGCATGGTGGTTTATTCTTCAACGATGTCAAACGAGCGCGCGAAGTCATTGGTGGCCCGTGCCCGGGAACACTTGCCTTCTGTGCATCATGCGCCTCTGCGAAGACGCGTTTTGGGGGATTCCCGGCCCGCGGAATTGGTGGCATCGCTGCGTGAGAAGGGCAATGTGACTACGGCGGTGACGTCTGAAGTGTTGCCCGCGCTAGTGTCACCGTTGGAGAACATACCACCGCAGTCCCTTGACCTTGTGGTGTTTGCGGCAAATGTATTTGGAGATGAAATGCTGCACGACGCGCCGTGGCATATGTCGCTTGCTCACCGCTGTCTTGCCCCACATGGGGTTGTGGCTATTATGGGCTACGCGACTCGAGTTTCCGTGGTGGCACCGGAAGCGGCGCGCAGGGACGCGGATGACTTTATGGAGGATCTGCAATGCACAGCAGTTGAATCGGCGAAGCAGACAGAGTCACAGGAACATAGAGCGGCGTTGGAGCGAGCTCTTGATACTAGCAGCAGTCTAGATGTGGGACACGCTGACATGTATTTTCCCTTTCGATCCATAAAGCGGCGGTGGTTTACCTCAGAGTACGCTGCTACTCCCGTACAACTCGCTGCAGCGTACCGGGCCCTACCAGAGTACCAAATACTCTCCAGCGAAACACCCCGTTTCCGCCACCTGCCGAGCTTTGGAGGCGGCCAGGCACAATTAGGGGAAATTGTTGATCAGGACGAGCCAGTGAACGTGTTTAGGCGTCATGCTTGTGTGGATCCTCTTGAAGCCCTGGAGTGGTGCTTGCAGGCACAAATGATGTCGTCTCATGGAAATAGTGCACCACTGTTGCCTCCGCTGAGGGTTCACGTGCGGCACTTCATCATTACCTGCAGCGCACGTTCGGTAAACGCCGCATCGGAGCCTTTGCAGCTTCACTTCCCCAGGAGGCAACTGCCACAACTCAATTAGGCAGGTGTTTTTTTTTCTTTTGGAAACTGAGGCTATCGCACAAACGGCCTCGGGAACGACAATTTGCATTTTGCCGCTGATCTCTTCTGAGGGGTGTTTCTCATTGACTTTCTTATTCTCTCCCTGCCTTTAACGCCTTGCGTGGATGCCTGTATGTCTGTTTCTGATCTCTCTTGTGTGGCTCGTTACCATTTCTTTTGTTTATTCTTTTACTTGTTCCTTGTTGCGCCTTTTTTTGTTTATTGTACCTTCATCAATGCTGCGGAATAAAACCGAAAACACTTCAAGCAGAAAAGGGGGCGAACGCAAAGGAGAAAAACAAGCGGTCCATTTACAGACAGGCACGTGCACGTACGAACATACACAAGATGGAACATTCTTTTCGTTTTTGTTTTAGGTGTGTCTTTCTGTGTCTACCTCTGTCTGTCTGTCCGTGTGCTTTGCTTCAGCTTTTTTTTTTTGATTGCTTTTTTTTCTTCCTTTTAGTGTGTGGTGCATCATCTCCCTCGTGGAACAGGATTGAAGGGGAATACGCCGGGCTTTGTGGGCAGGACTTTTCTCACTTCCCCTCACGCCCGATAGTCATGGAATCAGTAAAAAATCGAATGCTTCTGCTTGCCGTGCGGCAGCTGCTTGGCAAAATAGTGAAGGACATTCAGTGCGATCAGCTGGAGCGTATCGGTCTCTCGGAGGGCCGCCTGGGGTTTAGCTTTGAGCTCTCTCATCTTGAGCTGAATGAGACGTTTATTAACAAGGAAATCCTGGACGTCCCAGTGGAGGGGACGAGCTCCGCGCAGTCGTGTGCGTCCGCATCACTACGTCTGGTGCGAGGCCATGTAAACAGTATTAGTGGGGATTTTGCCTTGGATCCTAAAGGGCAACGCATCATTGAAATTGACGGTCTGCAGCTAGTCTTGGATGTGATTCCAAAGACTGAGTGTTCTGTTCCGACCGCTCGCCGGAGCCGCAGTGCGAGCCACATGAGGGAGACGAGGGGGCGGCATAGTTGCGAAAAAACTGCACATAGTTCAAAGAATGCTTGGGATGATGAGAATAGTGGCGCAGATGAGGATACTATATACTCCTCACTTTTCATGAGCAATACTCTGCGCAAAGGGGTGGAGGAAAGTGTGGTGCGCCCTGCGTTGAGTGAAGCAGGGTATTCCGCAGGGCCGTCTTCACCATCCCGCCATATTGATGAGGGGCTGGATGTGTTTGAGCGGACGATCAGGCAGTTTGCTCACAGTGTGCGGGGGCGCATACGTAATGTCAGCATCATCTTGCGGATTCCGCCGTTGGGCGAGCGGATTGTGTCAGGGCGAGAACCTCCAGATGGCAGTTTAGAACTACTGATCGTTTTTGAAGGTGGCTTTGAGCTGGAAGACATGTGCTCTGACCCAGATGGAGATTTGGTGCATAAGCGTATCCGCTTTTCTGGTGTTCGTGCGGCCGTGTACCCTTACGGACAACGGTGTACAACGCGCGCCACTGATGAGGAAGTGGAGGAGTCTGTTGACCTTGCCGACGTGTTCCTCTGTGGTGGACGCACAGACGAGTTCAACAACGATATAGTACTTCGATTTAGCGAAGGACGAAACCAGCTGCAGGGCGCGGAGGCGTTTCTGGACTTGAAGGTTACAATGAAATCCTTTTTCTTTATACTTTCTCCGACACAGATAGGTCGCCTGATGCATGTTGCCCGCGCCCTGGTGGGAGCACCGGAGGGGGATTACACGGATGCAGAGGCGGAGGCAGCGGCAGCGGCGGCAGCGGCGGCAGCAGCATCTCGTGTGGTGCGATTCATTACGACCATGAAAGCAACATGCCAGTATGTTTTTTGTGTGTTTCTCCCTGAGGAGGATCGTCAGGGAATTAAAGAGTTTTGGAAAACTCTGCAGCAAGGCGATACTGAGGCTTCTGCTGGCGACGCGCTGCTCTCGTCGCGAAGACATCGACTTGTATTGCATCGTCTGCTCCGTCGCACAGGGTATTACAACGTGCATATTGGCGGTATAATGCTGTTGGTTCAGCCAGTTACAGCAAGCACAAGCCGTTTTGAGGATGCGTTTCATGATGTGTTTGAAAATCACGGCGGTCGTGGTTGCTCCGCGGGAATCAGCACCTTTGAGGTCTATGAACTCGCTCCTGACAGCAGCGATGAGGGCCACCCCAGTGACACGGAAGGCGGACGACTTATCTTGACCACCAAGGAAAATGTTGAAAATCACTCTGAGCGGCGGTACCGCATTGCCATTGTTGCTAGGACCACGCACCCGCTAACACTTTCTGAGGCGCGCTGCTATAGCGATAACCTGCTGAAGGAGCAGGATAACGTGGCTGCCGTTGTGATGGAACATGTTCTTGTGAAAACTTCAGGGGCGGTGCTTGTGGCGGAGTTGGATGCGGGCATTCTTAAAAGACTAGTAACCTTCTGGGCGTGCTTGAGTCACATCATAAGCATGAGTCCCGGCACATCGAGGCCATCCCAGCAGCAACAGCAAACTACAGACATTTCTGTTTTGTCGTCACCTGCATTTTCGGCGCAGCGTCAAGGCTCACGGGAGGACTTGGATTGCCTTGAGAGGCCTCTGGGCGAGGGGCAATTTACTCAGCTGCTGCTTGAACAATTGACAGGGGAGGGATCTGTAGGTTGTTCGCAGGAGACGCAGGTGACGACACCGTATGCCTTGTTGCGCTTTTTTACACTCCAGCTGGAAGGACTCACATTGGAGGTGAGGTTTCCGTCCTCCAAGGCGCCTGATCCGGACTACTACGGCCCCTTGACCAAACGTTTGTGGGAACAGTTGCGGAAGGAAGCGGAGGCCGCGGCGGCTTTTACCACGGATCAGGCAAGTTTTTTCGGTGTTGATGGGCCCTACCTTCCACTGACGATGAGTGTGTATCTGAAGGCGCTTGATGTCTCGCTGGGCAGTGAAGGGGTACTGGAGGTGTTTCTGAATGAGGGACAGCTCACACTGCACGACTATAAGGAGTGCGTGCAGAGCAACATTATCCGCTGTGTGTTTGACACACACAAGGAGCCCTGCATTGTTGTCAGACAACGCCAGACCCAGACATCAGACATAAAATGGAGCGTTGCAGGCAAGGCTCACGCCCCTTTCACAGAGGCCCATGAAGAAGAAGAGACTCAGGCTGAAAACAACAGCCTTATCGCAGTGGTGGCGAATATCAGTCAAATTCACGCTCAACTTCATCAAGATGAATACCTTCTTGTTTTCTTCTACCTGGATCAGGTGCTGGAAGTGGTGGATGCCATGTGTAGAGTAATAAATGCTCCATATAAAGGCGGAACCAGCAATGACTATGCGTCTTTGGAAGAAACAGCAGAGGGGTTTGCATCTGCTCTCTCCGGTACTTCCATCACAGTTGAGGACCCACTGCAATACAGCAATACAGAATATGACCCCATCACCACTAGTATCAGTATTCGACTGGGAGTTGAAAAGGGCACAATGCGACTTTGGGCACCAAGGCTTTCCTCCGCAGGATGCTCTATTGGCGACCCACTATGGCGCTGCCTCCCGCGGCAAGAACGGCGTGGAATCGACAAGGAACATCTATACCACCTTTACGACGTGACAGTTTCGAAGGCTTTTGTTTTTGTTTTTCATCAGGCATCGATGCGCCTGGCAAAGACGGCATTGCACGGGAGGGCGTTTGACTTTTGTTTGCAGGAGCGTTTATGTCAGGCAAAAATGACATACGCTGAATTTCCGTGGCCGGCCGAACACGCCTCGTCTCCTAAATGGGGTGGTGTTGCCACGCTTCTTCAAAGTTATTCGGCTCTCTACAATCGCTCGCACAACATTCGCGTGCGTCCGCCCGGCGCAAGTTCCACGGAATCTTCGCGTACTCGTCATGCCGTCGGTATCTCGCTGTGTCGTCATCGCAACGTGGAGGACCACACCGAGGCGTACAATGTTGCCCTACACTTGGATCGAATTAGCGTATTGCACCAGGCTGCACATGAAGGGGATCATTGGTTGTTGGTGCTTCTGAACTACCTTTCTGACCCCAGCAATGACGGATTAAACGCGGCTGTAGCAGAAAAGGAGGTGTTGGAAGCAGCTCAAGTAAATGAGAGGAAAGAAGCGCAGAGTGACGAGGGTGTGGCCATCGTAACATCCGCCGACATCAACATTACACTCAGAGATATTCTTGTGGAGTACAGACCCTTTGGAAAGCCCTCCATGTTGGTTTGCCTGGCCCCTCGCCTAAAGGCCACCGTTTTTGTGCCGAGTTTGCCCAATGAAGCCACAAGTGTGAAACTGTACCTTGAAAAGGAGCATATCTCGGTGTTTCTTCATGACAATTTTCAACAGTACTTGCTTGACTACGATCAAGAGGCAGGACTTGGTTCTCTGTTTGGAAGCAGTGAAAGCGGTGTGGCGACTGACCTTAAAAATATCGGCTTTGTCCTGGTATTGGATATCGCTTCGTCTGGGGGTAATAAAAATAGGGGCGTTGATGAGGAGAGGGGGGTTGATGCATGTAAAAATGGGGTGCCCAACGTTGCAGTCTTTGTTAACCCAACAGCCGAGAAACCGGTGCTTGTGGAGGTACAGAAACTTCGTGGCTCCATGTTCTTTGCCTACGACTCCCTGTACTACTTCAGAACGGTGGTTTCACACTTTTTGGGGGGCGCTGATCTCGCCTATTTGCCCTCGCCCCACCTGCTTGTGGAACGGAGTGGTTCATGGTTCAATTGCATTATTCGGTCCAAGTCCGTCAATAAGGGAAAACATGCATCCGTCATGTGCCACCTCGCGCCGGACTACGTGCATCGGCTTCGTCGGCTGCTGGATCAGTCCGTGCTGGATATTGGACCTGTCGCTACCGTTGGCACCGACGGGGATGAAGAGGTGTTGAAGGCAGGTCCGCCAGAAGGAATGCTGATATCACATTCATTTGGTGATTTTGACATTATTGACGTTAACGAGCTTGACACCCCACCCGCGCCTGCGTGGGGGACGCGTGAGAATGAGCCTATCAACCTGATGGGGTGCTCCAAGTACACAAATTTTTTGTCTGTGTATGGGGCCCGGTGTGGGGGATTACCGGGGTATGTGCAGAATCAGCGGTGTGTTACACGCTCACTGCCGCCAAACAGCGCAGTGGCCGTCGAGATTTGTCTTTACGACTGCGACGTCATTGCTCATTTGTACGGTGGCGAGGATTTCATCCACTTTGACGTGCCGCAGAGTTATCTCCACACCATACAACGCTTTGGTAACATGGAGGATAGGGCGCAGGAGTCGTCGGTGCTGTGGAGTGGGATGAGCTCCGATGTGGAGCTTAACAAGGGGAGGCGTGAGGGATGGCGAAGCGGATTTCATGGCGTTGGGCGACGGCAGGACGAGTACGTGGTTGCCCGCTTCACGGGCATTCGGCTCCAGGTGGACATGTTTGTGCCAGGAAATACAAACTTTATGCAGATCTACCTCTCCGTGAGAGATAGCGAGGTAGTGGACTGCATTGAAAAGAGTTTGGTGCGCACGTTATTCATGGCCTCTCTGCCGCACTCTCTCCGTGACCACAATGGGGATTTATTTGAGCTAAAGTGGACGACGGTTGTACCGCGCTCGTCTTCCCGCAATACCGGGATAGTTGTTGTGGGGAAACCGGAAGAGCAGCTCATTGTGCGGCTCCAGCCCGTTACTTTGGCTGTGCATCGACGTGCCATGAATTTGCTTGCGAAATTTATTGGGGATCCGGAAAATTTGCCTTGTGACAATGACGATTTGGACGAAGTGACGTCGCAGGTGCTCTTTTTCAGCAAGATTGTTGTGTTTCCTGTGCAACTGACACTCTACGTCTACTTTGAGGGGGGTGATGTCTCCCAAGCCACATGCATGAATAAGTTTGAACTTGGCAACTTTATTTTGCCCTCCATTGAGCGGGCTCAGGTGCAGGTGCCATTCATGCTTGTCACAGCGTGCCCGCTCCAGAGCGTTGGGGAACGTATTTTAAGCCTCATGCGGGACCAGCTACTCAATTTTAACGGCCTGTTCATGCTACTTTGCGCTGTGCAGCCGCTGCAGCTGGCATTCAACGTTGGGTCGGCAGGTAAAGAGATTCTTTTTGCGCCGCTTTGTGAGTATCGCCGCAATAAACGTTTTTTCTCTGCTCTTTCCACAGCTCTGCGCATGTTTTTGTTTACGGTCGTTTCACAGTCACTCAATAGTGCGGTGGCAGTGTCGCGACGGGTACAATGCACTACCTCTTCCATGATTACTTCCTTATTGCCAGGGAGTGAGTTATCGCCCGTGCCACGTGGGTCGCAGCCGGTGGGTCTCCTGGAGGGTTTGCAACGTGGCTTTGCTGAGTTCCTGCAGGGACTTCGTCTGGCCTCGAACGTCACCGCATATTGTCTGGGGCCTCACGGGAGTCCAGTGCGTTTACCATTGGCGGCTCCCGTGGTTATTGATGGCCTTATGCGTGGGACAGTTGAGGTGATGTGCGGGGCGCGAAACATGATTGCCCCCGAGTTATACTGGCACGAGAAGAAACTTTTTAAGGGCAAACGACGAAAGAATGCACTATAGTGGCGGGAAGGAGGGGATTGCGTTACGAATTGATGCATCCAACAGAGTAAAACTCTGCTGACACTCTTCATTTTTATCTTAACCTTTTTGTCTGCGTCTGGGTGTGTTTTGTATAGGCGCTCCTTCAGACACATGTATATACGCATATATTGGCGACAAAGGGGGAGAGAGGCCAGGGTTTAGAGGTGGTAGTTTTTTTTTTTTTTACGTCTGCCAAAGTTGCACCACGGAGACACCCACATAGACTCTCTGCGTCTCGATCCATAGACTCATAACAGTGCGTCTCTCTTTGTACACGAACGCCCTTTTTTTTTTGCTGTGTGCCTTGCTTTTATTTGATGCCAGTAGTATTTTCCTTCCTTTCCCCCCCCCCCCCCCCTACTGCACTTCTTCCTCTACTTTTTGCTCTGTTTGATGTTTGCTCGCATTGCAGCTGGCTGCTTTTCTTGCTTCTGCCGTCCACATGACGCCAGGGACGGCCACTGCTCTCTTGTGGTGCCGCACACACGAAGAGACACTTGTGGAGGGACTGGGCACCCCTCCGCGAGGTTGGCGTCGCGCCCCGTCGAAGCAGCCACACGCTGTACGGTAGAAAGAAAACGGAATACAAAAAAAAATAGCAAAACAAATGATCAAGTGGGAAGTCAACTGATAAGTCATTCTTTCCACGAGACGTGACAGTTTCAAGTTTGTTGTCTATTTTTCGATGTGATCCTCCTACCCTCGTTGTTTGTTTGACTCTTTCTTTGTTTTTAGCTCGTGCGACTTTTTCATCTACCACTGGAACGGGTTACCACCCGCTGCCTGGTTTTGTTTTGCATCACCGCCGTTGGGAGGCATCGGCAGTCTCTCCCGGTGAAGGTGTGTATACACCATACACCTGTCGCTTTGCATTTTGTTCCTTCTGTTTAGTTTGGCTCTGTTACAGGGGAGTTTGCACGTGTACGTGTCAAGGTCGCGGCCAGCGAAGGAAGAATAGGGAATGAGACAAATCACAGGAGAAGCGGAAGGTAAAAGAGGGGGAAGAATGCAGGGAAAGGTTGTGGTGATACTCCGAACGAGCAGTGTCGCCCGGGCCCCTGTCTACAAACATCTCCGGGAAAAAGGTATTATTTTTGTTCTCATTCACCCTGTACAGCCGGAAGCTGCGTTCGACGGTGTCTTTCACTATCATCTGATACACGACACACATGATGTAGACGCACTTGAGCCCGTGCTTGGGCATTTTCTCACGCTGCATGGACTGTCGCCGGACGCCGTTGTATCGTTTGATGAGTACGCTGTCTACCCTGCAGCTGTGTTGGCGCAGCGCTTGGGGTTTCGCCCCATCCCACTGCCGCCAGAGAAGTTGCAGAGAACGTGCATCAAGTCCCTCCTGCGCGAGGACTGCGCGGGTGAAGGCATCGCGTCTCTGGTGGCGGGGGTCTTGACTCGCCCCCCACCTGGAGAAGCCGACTTGCTAGCGCATGTTCAGCGTGTACTAGGGGTGACGGGGATAAAGTTTCCCCTTGTGTTAAAGCCCTCTCCTGGAGCGGGGAGCCTCCTTGCAAAACTCTGTTTCAGTGTGGAGGAGGTGCGGGATCATGCGCTGGTGATGTGGGACGTTCTCGCCTCGCATAGTGCCAGAAGGCACTTTGAAGCTGTTTGTGGCCCGACAGTGGGGAAGGAGGGGGTGGAGATACTCTTCGAGGAGTACATTAGTGGCCAGGAGGTTGATTTGAACTGCTGTATAGAAAACGGCAAAGTTGTGTTCTGCTCCATCGACGATAACTTCGAGGTGCGGCCGCCGTACTTTGTTGAGACCGGTGGGCTGTGTCCCACGGCCTTGCAACCCCACGAGCAAAATGAATTGCGTAAGCTGCTGGATAGATACGTGGCATTCCACGGCAAAGACCTGCATGGGGTACTGCACTTTGAGGCGAAGTACGACTTTGAGCGACGCCAGGCGTATATAATTGAGGTGAATTGCCGACATGGGAGCGCGGAGACAGACACCATGATACGAACCTGCTATCGTGGTCTGCAACTTGGGGAATCCCTCGTGCGATGCGCTCTGGGGCTTTCTGTGACCGAGCAACTTCTCTCCCACTACCCGGAGAGGCTAATGGAGGTGAGCGGCGGTGATGGCTACTTCCCAGCTAGTTGCTACTGTGCCTCCGTGAACATATACCCTTGCGCTGAGGGGGTCTTGGTGCGGGCGGAAGCGCCAACATCTGAAAAGGCACTTGTGGAGTACAGCGTGTCAGCTGTCCCAGGGGAGTTGGTGGCACCTCCGCCAAAGAGTTTTTGCCTTCTTGCTTGGATGGTGGCCCAAGGCGCTACGGCGGAGGAAGCAAAGAGCGCCATTACACATCTCACAGAAAACTTTGTGCAAGAAATATCGGTGGCCCATTGAATTTCTGTGGAGAGAACAGACGGAATACGCGAAATCGGTGTGTGAGTGTAGGTGAGTGGATGGGGGAGCCGCGTGTAGGAGTTCTTTTGAAAACATTGCAAGCGGACGAGGAGGCGCGAACACACACATACAGGGTGTGTGAAGTAAAGTAAGGCTACAGGAAGCGATGATTCTTCTTATTCTTCCTTTTTTTTTTCCTGCTTGTTGTGGGTTCTCTCTCTTGGCTCTGGTCTTTGGTCTCCGTCGCTTCTGTCGTTTCCTGTCATGTTGGGGAGGGCTGGGCGGCATGGAGGAGGGGCCGGAAGCGATATCGACGGGGTAGGGATGACTGGGAATGCACCGACCTTCTCTTGCGTGAAGGCACCCGGTATGCATCCACCTGTGCATGACGGCCTGTGGGTGTATTTGGTTCTTTTTTTTTTTTTTATTTTGGCTCTTGGCGGGGTTCTTTTTTTTTTTTTGATTTTTTTTTTTTTATTGCGGCCGATCAGTCTGAGGTGTTCTCCGCATCACTTCTCTGTCTTCTAGACACCTGAGCAGTTGGAGTTGGCAATTGCTTGTCTTGTGCGTTGTGTTTCTCCGTGTACGTGTGTATGCGTGCCCCCTAGTCCTCGCGTCCGTGCGGCACACACACACACACACGCACACGCACGCATCGCAACGTAAAAGGCAGCAGTGACAAACACCGAGGCATTCAAAGTAAAACTCTATATGATACGAAAAAAAGAAAAATAAAAAAAGGAAAAAAAAGTGTTTTTGGTCTTGTTGGTTGTCTTGTGCCCCCACAACGTCGTTCAACGTTACCGGCCTGCGTTTAGTGGCGGGGGTGTGGGGAATATTATTTGCTGGCGCGTGCGAGCGGCATGCATCTGCATCTGCCCACCCACGATACACGTGGGCTCTTGTTGTTACAGCAGCAACAGCTATGCGTGTGTGAAGAGTCGCCGCGGCATTTTGCTATTTCGTTTGGGACTGTTCTGCTGCACCGTCTTTTTTTTTTTTTGTTGTGTGTGTGTGTCGCATTTGCAGTTTTGCTCTCTTGCGCAGGACGATTGCTTGAAGGGAAGGGAAGGAAGTGTAACGAAGAATAACAGGCAGCGGGAGCAATACACGCAAATAAAACGTAGACGTTTTTCACCTCCTGTGTCCCGCGGCCACGTCACTGGCAGGGTGTGAGAAGAAAAAGTAGTGGGGAGGGGGTCGCTGGTTGCCGCGGCGCGATGCCGATGTACACGCTCAATTCCACCTCCATTCGGCGATCTCAGCACCCGCCGCCGCAAGAACAGCAGCCATCGCAGCAGGAACGACAAGCACCACTGCCGCAGGAAAGAATGTACGCGGTGGGAGGCCTTTACAGCGCGCCATTTGCGCCAAGGTTTCTTGAGGGCAGTGCCTTGCAGATCCCCTTTGGTACGCCACATCCCGTGGGTGTCGAGGCAAACGGGTCATCAATCCCGGAGGCGCGGCCAGCGCCTTTCCCTGTCGGCATGAACAGATACGGACGGGGGCAGCTCCCGGACCCTACCAGGGAAGCGGCGAATGTGACAGGGATTTTTCCACAGATGCATGATGCTTCACTGCGACAGCGGAGAGTGCAAGAGGAGCTTGCTCAAGAGAAACGGAGGGTTCAACAGGAGATCGCTCTTCAACAGCAGCGGCTGCAGAAGCAGCTACAACGTGTTCCGCCTCACTTGCCTCAGCAGCAAGGCGATGGACGTGAAGTGCTACAGAGGTTGACCCAATTGCAGCAACAGCAGCAGCAGCAGCAACAACAACAACAACAACAGCAGCAACAACAACAGAAACAAGAACAACGACAGGAAGTGCCCATTCAAACGTCCTCACCGCCGTACGTACAACAGCCAGCGTTCACTCAGCAGCAGTACCGATTAGCACAGCAACAGCAGCAAGGAAGTGTGCCATGGGAAAATGAAAATTTTAGGCCCCAGCGTCAGCGAACCCTCAGAAAAGTCTCAATGGGACAAAGACGGGAACCCATAAATATAGCCGACGGTGGTCACAGAGCTGGGTCTGTTGAAACTAGGAGAAATATTACCGTTGGAGTTAATGCAATGGATGCGGCAAATAATCTATTGAAGTCCCGTGTTGATCTGGAGTTTGTGCAAAGGTTCAAAAACCTCTACGCTCTTCAGGCCGATGATGAAAATCAGGCGGACCATCTTAAGGTGCAAGAGAGTACTGTGCTCGGCATGGTAGGGACCCTTGACGTTGATAAATGTAGCCGAATGATTGAAGATCACGACGTCACAATTGTTGTGACAGACACAGGCACAGGCAAAAGCACCCTTATCCCAAAGGCCATCCTCGATGGACACCCGGAGGCCAAAGTGGCAAACGCGCAACCGAGGCGCACGCCAGCCATTAAGCTGGCACAACGCGTCTCCGCCCTGTACGGTGAGAAGGTTGGCACCAAGGTGGGCTATTGGGTACGAGGGGAACACATTGGAAAGTTGGGTGAAACCCCGATTATGTATGTGACAAATTACACCCTTTTCCTACACTTGCTTCACACTTTTCCTGATGAAATTGACATTACACACTTTATATTTGATGAGTTTCATGAGCGTACCACTGAGGTTGAGGCGCTTCTTCTTCTTGTGAAGCTCGTGATGCTGCGTAATCCAGGAAAATTACGGCTTGTACTTTGCAGCGCCACTGCAGAAGTATCGGAGTGGAAGCACTTCTTTGAGAACTTGAAAGTGGGTGAATACTCCAAGGCGGAAGCCATGTACCCCATTCATGATTATTACTTGGAGGATGTTAGTAAACTCATTGGCATCAACTTTGCTGAGCCGAATGTTTCTCCCACGGGAGTTGTGCATTCGGTTCAGCTTCATACCATCCGATTGGTACTGGAGGGGATCTTAAAATTTCTGGCGGACACAGTCGCCCCAGGGCACAGCATTCTTGTTTTTGTGCCGGGCCGCTCCGTTGTAGAACAGCTGTCTTTGTGGATTAGGGATAATCTGGGCGATCAACTCGACCCTATTCCATGGTATCGCGATATTGAACTTGCGGTTATTCAGGAGGCACTTCAGCGGGAGGCTGTGACGAAAAAAAAAGTCTACGTTGCCACAGACATTGCCGAGGTGTCCATTACTTTGCCAGACGTCGTATTTGTCATCGACTCTGGTACAGCCAAGCGCCCCCGCATTATTGAAAACGACATCAATTCGGTAGCGTTTCCACCTCTGGAACTCCTCTGGGAAAGTTCCGTAAATATGTTGCAACGTCGTGGTCGTGTTGGACGCGTGCAACCAGGATTTTTCATTACCTTGTTGTCTCGAAAACAGGCGCAGCAGTTGTCTCCGAATGAGTCTCGCTTGGGAAATGCCGTTTTACATGGAATTGTGCTTCACTGCCTTCACTTGTCGCCCTCACCGTTTCAAATGTTTTCACTGTGCCATGAAAAACCTCGTAAAGTAAGTGTGGAGTGGAGTCTTTCAACGTTGTGCGACGGCGGCTATATTGTACCGGAGGAGGATCATGTCTCATTGATTGAGACAATTGATAACACCATACAGCACAATGTGCGAGATGCATGGAGTACACTTATTGGAAATGCATTTGCAGCTCAAACAGCTGGCAATGATGTGTCAAGTTTCCCGTTGGCGCAACGTCGGTTTAACTTGTCTCTGCGTGGGCTTATTGTCGGTGGACTTCCCTTTGGTGTGGAACCGGGCAACATTGTGTTCAATGGGGTCATCATGGGTCTCACGACACTTTCTATCATTGCTGCATCTTGCGTGTCGTGCGGGACGCCCTTCTACGTACCGCACAATGGGATGGATAAGATTGCGCGGCTGAGACTACTACGTAGGGTAGAGGAATTTATGAAAAGATACAAGGGGGAATACTGCAACGATGCACTGTCTGCTGTTGATGTCGTTCTTACCTACATGGCGATGCAGCGCGAGGGTGTGTCAGAGGAAGGCCAGATCGCATGGTGCGAGGAAAGATACTTGAGCCGTGCTCGCATTGTGGAAGTTCTTCTTGTGGTGGCACAAACGAGGGAGCAACTGGCCTCCATTGTTCCCTTCGAAGATGTGACGGATGTGGACGAGCTATTGGAACAGCTTAACCAAAATGCCTTGATCCTTTCCCTTATTTGCTCAGCGGCCTACATGCATCAAGGCATTTACGTGCTTCATGACGCGGCTCTCGCGCAAAAAAAGCGATACGCCGGGAGTGGTATATTTGTAAACATCAACTGCGGTAGAGACAACTCAGTGCCAACCAACTGCCCATGGGAACGCGACAAGGTGTGCATCCCTTTCACTGTGCATACTATTTATGGGCGCCTATCGGGTTCATTCTCCTCGCAGTTGAAGCCTGAGGTGTACAACATCATGCTACTACTGCTAAGCAGTCGTTTTGTCTATGAGGAAATTCGTGAGGAAACGGAGTCCGTCACCTTTGATGTGGCGCAAAGCGGCAGTCATGTCTACATTAGTTGTGATAAAATAACGGCATTTCAGTTGCTACAGCTTCGGCGGCTGATGTGTGCTCGGCTCTGCGTGCTGCACTTTATTATTCAGCAAAAAACAGCACCTGACGATAATGACGTCATAGCCGAGGAGTTGCGGAATACCGGGAGTGACTTTGGCATCCCACCAAACATGGAGCAGCACCCACAGTTCCTCCCTGCCATGATTACGTCTTCCTTGACGAAGGTAATTGAACGCATTGAGGCGGCAATCGTTACGAGGGACGATGTGAGGGGATCCAGTGCCTTAGCAACGTCGAAGCCTTTCTGCAGGGTGACAGGGCGCCCGGATGGATTCCACCCCACACGGCAGTCAGCCCTCGTGTTTTCGAGCAACGGTTGTGCGCCGTTTGCGTACCCAGCCGGTGAGATGATGCCAGTGTACCGTGACCCGCATGCAAGCCAAATCGCATAGGGATTGAGAGTACCATAAATAACTAATATATATATATATATATATATAAAATTCCTATGTGCATCTTCGGGCTTTTGCCTACATTTTTTTTTTTGTTCTACCTACTAACGATGCAGATTGAGGAGCGAGAGGCATTGCTTCTTGCCGTTTTCTCCCAAACACTTTTTCTTGTTAACCCCATATTCTGGCTTGCCAGGGGGATAGAAAGAAAAAGGAAAAGACCAAAAGGGAGAAAATTATATCTATATCCAACCCGATGTGCTCATATATATGTATGTTTTGAGAGTGAGAGGTGACTGGTAGAGAAGGAAAGAAACCGTGGATGCGAGTGTGCGTGTGTGTGTGTGTGTGTCGTTCGTGTGTCAACTTACGTTTACGTTTCTTCTATATATATATATATATATATATATATGCGTAATTCAAAGGCCCCATTTTGAGGGCACGTGCATCTTTTTTTTTTTTTGGTGTTGGTGCTTTAGGGAATTGCGTTAGGCTGAAAATACAGAAGGGAGGTGAGCACTTTAGATGCCGTCTGGCGCCAGCAGCAGCGGTGGCGGCTTCGGCACTCCCACACGGCTGGGTGTGCAGTACTCCTCCGATGAGGAGCGCAGCATCTACGAGAAGGTGGCGACCATCCACGGCTACACCTTCGAAGTGCCTCCGGTAAACCGCTTCCACAGCAAAACTGCAGAGTCCAAGTTTGTGCAGCTCACCGGCTCTATGAATCCGAAGTTTGAGGCGGAGCGCTTCGACAATCTTCGTGAGCGTCTGCAGCAGGCGGACAAAAAAGGAAAGGACAGCTACCTGCAGGCCATCGCCATGCTCTACGCCGAGTTTCTTGGGAACAATTTCTTGAAGGCTAAGGATGCGGATCTTGCGGAGCTGGAACGCTGCTTCTATCCCTCGCACCTCCCCGCCTACGACGTGGCACTGCGAACTGTTGGACTCAAGAAGCCGCTGTGGTGGAAGCAAGGTTTTTTTGTACGTTTGGAGGACATTTCGCGCCTTCCACTTTCTCAGTGCGACATCAACAAACAAACCTCCATGACCTTCGAGGAGTGGTACTGCCTGTTTTGGAACTACTACACACCCTTTAACACACTGGCGTATCTTTTGATGGTGACGGCACAGTCGTTGCTGCCCACGAGGGAGTTGGTTGATAGCACCGCGGACTACATTTCCCACCGTCACTCACTTATTGAAGACCCGAAGGCGAAGAAGGCCCCCATCTTGTTTCTTGGCTCCCGCACAGGGAAATTGGGTGGCCTACTGAACCAAACAGGAAAAATCCCTGTGCCTATCATTCATGTACATGAGAAACCCAACATGAATCCGTATCTGCTTGTTATACCACCCAATAAACAAGATGCATTTAAACCACATCCGATCATCAAAATGAAGGCCCAAGCCGCACTAGAAAAATATGAACCTGCCATTGTTTTGATGTCTGACATGACCATGAACACGGATCCCACCGCCATGATTCGACGGATAGGATCGGTAAGGGAGTACATGTATTTTGGTACACCCAACAGTTATATCGAGGGTCATCCGTGGGAGACGTGGGGGAATGCTAGATACCGTGAAAAGGGTACGGATCACATTCCACCCTTCTTGCGGGAAAATTGGATGAAGCTTTCCCTGTCGCACCTCTCACGCTGGATGATTTACAAAACAGATAGCGACATGCAAATGGGTAATGGGGCAGTCACAACGTGGATGCGGCGCCCGTTGAAGCCTTCTGCCAAGGACATTTTCAGTTGGCGCCTCGCACGATTTAAGCCGTTCTACTGATAGTTGGATGTACTGCGTGCGTGGGGCAGTTAGGGCGGAGCGAAGGCAGCGACATATATATATATATATATATATATGGCTGTTGTTTGTTCACATCAACATTACTTTTTTTTTTTTCTTCTTTGTGTCTTGCTGTGTTGTTGTTGTTCATCCTCGGTGGAGTGTAACTTCAGAAGCCTCGGCAGGGGTATTATTGGCATGCTTTGCCGCTTCATTTGTGAACTTGTTTTTCTATTTCTTTTTTATTTTGTTTTACACCGTTTTTTAAATACTTTTTTCCTCCATTCTTTTTTTGTCCCCTTTACATCTGTTGACTGCATTGGTGTTGCTATGCGCAGGCAGCGGTCTTTATTCGTCGCTCTCGCCAGCTCGTAGGTCGTCCTTGACGATTATCTGAGCGGGGGCAACAAGGGTGCGGGTAACGCCCGGCGTTCGAATTCTCTGTGCTGTAAGCGATGAGCTGTTTGAGGCGGGAGGATGAGCTTAAGCTAAAGGAGCTTACTGAGCTCGCTGCGGCGGTGGGTCGACAGAACCTTCCCGAGGATGATCAGCTGGTCATGCTGTACCTCGAGGACCGCTTCAATCGCTTCTTGGAAGAGGGACTGCGGAGGCTCCGCGGGGAGAGCGACGGCGGCAAGGCGACAGGTCTCAGCAATCTCTTTAGGACCAAGCTTATGACAAGTCTCCCGCGTCGGGTGCACTCTGTGAAGTTGCCAGAGTCCCAGCCGCCAAACGCAAATAAGAACCTCCACGGTGAAGAAAGATCTCTTGACGCGATAGTAAGGACACCAAACGAGCGTTTTGTGACATCGCCACCGCGGCCTGCGGCAGGCAAGCTGTGGACATGGGTTTTGGATGACCTTGCGGTGGGAGGCGTACCGCATTCCGATACGAAGGAAGACGGAGCGGGCCACATGCTGGAGCTTTGGCGACAGTGCCTGGCCCGCGGTGGCAGTATGCTTTTAGTGGTCTCTTGTCTGGAAGTGGGGGAAGTGATTCCACCTGGCTTTGCAACATTGCAGGACTGGGAGCGTTTCCCCGGCGTGGTGGACTACTACTCTGTTCCATTTATTCCTCCGGAGAAGCAGGGGAATCCACCGAGAGTGGAGACGGAAATACTTGAGGTATTGCACACTGTCTGCAAAAGCGTTTACAGCGCGTTGCCTTTTGTGGATGCTGGACAGGTAGATACTCAAAAGAAGTTGCTGGACTCTACAGGCCACTGTTCCATGTTCCGGTTTGGTGGCCGAAAGCGGCGGGCGCTCCTAAAATTCAGTCATCAACCTATTGTTTATATTATGTGCAAAACAGGACTGACGCGGGCGTGGGTGTTCGCCATGGCGTACCTCATGAGCCAATATGGCATGGGGTACCCGGAGGCGGAGCAGCTGCTCCACAAGTTACGGCCCTTTCATCCCAGTCCCACGCAGGTGGAGATGGCGTTAACGTTCTCCACCGCAATCAAACCTCGGCACACTGAGGGTCGTAGTGAGGAGCACAGGTACCTCGAACTATTAGCGCAAGTACTATCGTTGTCGCCTTCCTACCGAAGTCGACTTTTGTGTGACCTAAAGCGGTCGACGTAGAGTGGATCTTACCTAGGTGGGAAGGAAATGAACAACAACAACAACAACAACAACAACAGAAAAGACAAATAAACTCATTGAGTGCCACGGACACTGTCTTTCACGTCTTCTAAAAGGACGTGGGTAGTGGCAAAGGCACCAGTTAGACTGAGTAGCTT